CATTTTTGCTGTTTGACTTCATTATTCGTGAAGCTTTTAATTGTTATGTATCAACTGAAATATTGTATTGACTTAGGCAATGCTGTTTGATTACTTGATTTATAGAACAACAATAAATAAAAATATCTTTTTGATATATCTACGGACATACTTTACCACGTTTTAAGCGGTCCTTTTTGCTAGCTCAATTCAATTTCCCTTTAGGTGAAAATAGTCAAATCCAGCTTGCACTTATAAAAATAATCTGGATAGGACATTGATGTCGATAAACCGGTAAGACGTATAATGGGTTATGCAAAGATTTTAGTACGATATCCTACTATGTATGTTATGTAATATGTTGCGTCGGGTTATCTTTAGAAGTAGAAATAGCTTCATCGTCTTATCCTGTCTGTCTCAACATAATCTCCATTGTTAAGCATGCGTTTACAAAGAACAAGCTCTTTTTGTCAAACAATATACCTCTAAGTTTAAAAAAATACAATGAGTTTACTATAGATACATCGTATAAGTTTTTCAATCACATATAAAAAAATCTTGTTAGGTACATCTTCCAAGCTTTATGGAATCAATACATAATTCTCACATTAAAAACAACTAACGGTAAGTATTTTATTTTTATTAAGAATATTTCTTAAAATTCGGAAGTTTTATACTATCAAAATCTCCCAACACAGATTTAACAAACTCAGCTAACGTCTTCCCACAGCAAAGAAACGGCGATAACAAGGTAAATATAAGTCAGGATTAGGCAGTACGAGGGCTGTTAGAAATAATAGAAAAGTATCCGGAAAGGTTTCATAACTTTTTTTATTTACAAACATAACTAGATAAAATATTCAACGTTTTTTCCATGGAGAATTTTGCCTATGATCCACTTAAAAAATCGCCATTTGCGCTAATGCACATTATACAGTATATTTGAAAACGAAGGGTTGGGATGAGCGGTGCAACTTACTTCTGGATTAGATATAGCGTCAGGAAAATCGGTCCCACGCATAAAAATCACACCTTTTCTAAATATTCTCCACTTCATGATACGCACCTCTCCAATCTATAAATCCACTTGTCAAAGCAGGACTTAAACTGATCTTGGGGAGTTTTACGAATCGTTCCTCGAACAACAATTGGCAAATTATGAACGTCATCAAATCTTTTGTCACGTAGCTCATTTCAACGCCAGAAAGAGCCAGAAATCACATCTTGGGAATATGCAGGATGTTTCAAGGTGTCAATTCCTTATTGTCTCAGCGTTGTCTTGGTGACAACAGAGGAGTGGGGAGGTGTATTGTCATGATGTTATACGAAATTGCCATCAAATTGTCGACTGTTCTTCCATACAGAACACACCAGATCACGCTTGATAACGCGTAGACTTGTTTTTAAATATGTTGTATCACTCATAAATGTTTGATTTCTTCATAGAACTTTTACGGCAGGTATTCTTTATCATAGAGATCGTCTCTGATGCCATGTTTCATATTAGCACGCAAATGTTTATTAAATACCGCTGCTCTAGTGATATAATAGCAATAGAGTGATGTGTTAAATTTCTGTTGTTTACGGAAATGACGTCATATTAAAGTCAATGGTGTAACGTTGGTCAATACAAAAGTGTGCAAGAACGTCACTTGCAATTTGGTCATCTTTTGACGTCGGAAATACAATTTTTGATCTCTTTAGAAACAGGTAAATATGTATTCGTTAATCCAATTTATCTTAGTTGCCCAGCTCGACATCACCAGACGTTGCCTTAGTGACTGTAGAAAATACATAACTATAAATATTTTACTTTTTCAACTGGACTATAAGCATAATTCCTGAAAGTGTCTGTGTTGAAAATTTCATCACGATAGTTGCACAAATAAAAAAATGAAACAATTCCGAATACTTTTCTAAAGCCCTCGTATTAAAATAATAAACAATAAATATCTGTTCACGTGTAAATAAAAGGAACACACTTCCATATACGTGCAAATGATTCTATTCTTTTTGCAAATACTTGACACCAGTAACTTAATGCTCAGTGAAAAGTACAGAAATACGGGTTTCATAAATTCAAAAATTGGCACAAATTAATTTTCAAGGTGCCTGTAATTCTGGTAGAAGACCCTCCATAGTTACTGACAAAACAAATCATAAAATCAAGCTTGTATTTGACAAAGGTGCAAGACTTTCATTTACTCAGATTGCACAGGTAAAACTGCTCAAATCTTGTAAATTGCATATATCGCTGCCCACAATGCTCTAAAAACCATACCATTTGTTGTTATATTTGGTTTTCCAATCTTTTTAAAGAATTGATTTTCCAACCAGTTTGAACATTATAAATACTACTCTGGGAAACTGAAACATGACCTGTAAATACGAAAACTTAACATAAAGTCAAAGGTTTTACTCGAGTCTTTCATTAGCCTAATAAAAAGTAAATGCAAAAGTAAACAACCCGATCCTAATAAAAAATCTGTTTAAAAAGTAGGTCAAATTATGACAATTGGCTAAAATGTAACCATAGCATATTTCAACTTTATCACCAACGATTAGCTTATTTCAAAATAATTTAATCTGAGTAGGGTTATTTCACACACCTTTTATTGTGGATTTGAAAGTTTAAATAAGATGCATAGCCTATCCGCAATAACTATTGTATAAGGGAGATTGATTCAAAATAAAATATCAATACAGTTTTTCATAAATTACGATTTACGTGTTATGAGTTTAATCTAACGACAAAATTGTATCTATGCTAGTTATAAATTAAAATTATAAAAAATAAGAATGCTCTGCCAGGAAAGACTTTGTGCGTAGTATACACCCGAACAAAGGTCAATCCGTTTGTCCACCCGTCTGTTAGCAATTTCGTGTCCGTTCTGGATCTTTTGAACCAGTAGAAGGGAATTGATACTAATCGGCAAATTGTTAACCATAAAAAAGACGATGTGCAGAGTGCAAATTAAGTCAGGGTCAAGATCACACTTAGTTATTGTGTATACATTTCAAAATTTCGTGTCCGCTTTGTATCAAATATCTTTTAAATGATGGGAGGGAAGTAAAACTATTCTTCCACAGAAATTTTACTGATAGTAAGACGATGTGCAAGACCTATAGGATTGGACTTCCTCAGATCAAAATTGCTCCTGCCCCGGGAGTCACTTGTGTTATATAGATATATTTCAAATACGATTAAGTCTTATTCAGTTAAAACTACTGTGATCAGAGCTTAAATAATTGACATGTAGCAATGCCATGTTGACGCCCACAAAATTGATATTTATCATGCCCAAGCGTTAATATCTGTCTAACGCCTAGGATCACCTAATACAGATAGACTTGTTTTGGAAAATGACAATTAAGTCTTATTCTGTAAAACACTGACATATATCAATTCCTTTGGTCAATTATTTTAAAAATATTTACTCCTTAACTATGTCAGCCGAGAAAAACGAAATATATTTACCACGACCCCCGAGGTAACCATTGGTCACATGCCTTATATAGATTGCTGTATTAGAAAACACATCAAAATGTTTATATAAAAACAAACTACAGTGCCAACATTTACATTTGGTATGTATCATCGCCTAGTACACCTCTGTAACAGTTTGATGATTCATGCACCTAGGGATAAAAAATGCTCCCACCCTGCGGGATATTTAATATTATGAGGATAATTCAGATAAAACACCTTTTGTTAAGTTTTATGAATGAGTCTTTTCTTTCACTGAAAGGTAGTTTTGACCCCTCAAACACATTTTCGGGCGTTAATTTCTCCACCATTGTTGAACTCTTTTTTTTTTAAAAAAAACTTGATTTGCTGCCATCTGTTTCAATACCCGAAATATAGAAAGATTGTTTTATACGACCTTGATTGCCAAAGATTTCTCAAGATTTAAAGATTTTCTTATTGTATAAATCATTTACATTCTGTATTTATACATATATAATATGTAATGTTAGATTCATAAACACCTAGCATTGAAAAAAAGTATTTGAAACAAATTGTTTGTCTTTGTTGCCAGAAATAAAGAAAAAAGTTGTCATAGAGTTATGATCATGCTTGCCCTAGCATAGAATTTAGCTTTTCATATCCAGGAAAACTCATGATCTCTTTTTCTTGTTTATTCAAGGATTGGTAACTAAAACATACTATGTCTCGCAAACGAATAATTTCCGTTATGATAAAAGGGCAAATATGTTTTGTGTTTTTTTAATTGCTGTAATAATGGATTTGAAAAAAAGACGTAAAATGCTTATCGCTAGAAGGAAATTTAGATGTAAACAAAGCAAAGATGGTTGAGCTATATGCCTTATGTGTAACTTATGTTTTCTACAACACTAATTAACAACAATATCATTTTTTATTCCTGTATGACGCATTTAAGTACTTATAGCCAGCCCATTTATGAATTAATCTTTTTACAGGTCAAGGTCAATTGATTTTTTTTCTTTAGTATATAAGGTTAACATTTTGAATATACAACTTGTGCTCCAAAACACCCATTGCTTTCATTTTTTCTCAATATCAGTCCTGTTAAAATTCAAATAATCTAATAATGTCGATAAAGCGGTGGGTCGTATAGTGGGACATGTTGACATTGAACTACAATCTTATCTAGGTTTCTCATGTACTGCGTTGACGTTTAGCTTACATTATTCCTTAAAAGTACAAATAACCTTGTTGTTACAATCTATCTAAAATCTATGTCTTTACCTTATCCACAAAGTTTACCATGTCTTTCAATAGTCTACAAACCTTACAGTTTATTAAAAAGAAATAAAAGCCCCTCTTCATCAATAAATAAATTTCCTTGTCTCGAAAATAGAAAGATTAAAATAAAAATAAAGAAATCGACGAATTAACTATACTTTTAAATATTTTCAAGTTATTTTAAAAATCACTTTTTAAGATCTCATTTACAAATTTTAAATGTCAACAAAATATTCTAAACTTCAAAAATATAGGTTTATCTAAATTGTTTTAGTTGATAACAATAACTTACTTGATCATCCGAGAACAATCAAAACACGACCAGCTGCTGTCTTTTCCCGAGCGAAATTAAACAACTAGTAGACAAATGATAAGACAATAACAGTAAACATGTATCAGGGCCCTTCAAGGTTACCTAAAAGGTAGACGCATCTATTTTAAGATTTCCGCATTGGTAAATAATCAGCTTTTTAATTGCGTCTATTTAAGACTTCCGCATTGGCACCCCCGTCTAATAAATTCAAATAATCTAAGTATAATTTTTATGTCAATAAAGCGGTTAGTCGTATAATGGGTCATATTGACATTGAACTTACTAGCCTTGAATCACTAGCTCACGTACTGCGTCGGTGTTAAGAAAAGTACAAATAACCTCATTTATGTTACACAATCTGTCCAAAATCTATATCTTTACCTTATACCCATAGTTTCCCATGCCTATCCATAGTCTACAAACCTTATATTAAAAGGAAATATAAGCTCCTTTTCATCAATAAATAAATCTCCTTGTCTCCAAAATAGACAGTTAAAGATAAAATTAAAGAAACCGATGATTTGACGTCATCGTTTAATTAAACAAATCATTTTTCCAAATGTATATGTAAACCAAATATGATTTTTACATATACAATATAGGTTTATTAAAACAATTGGTTTAAATGAAAACATTAAGTGGATAACAATTTACTTACTTAATCCTTCGACATCAATCAAAACAAGACCAGCCACTATCTTCTCCCAAAAAAAATTGAAACAGCAATAAGGCCAAACAAATGTTTGTTTCTGGTAACCCGATCGACCCTCAATTTTTAATGTCGGCCGTAACATTTTTACAGACTTAAAAAAAATTCACCCTCAAGACCAATTTCATAAATAAGTCAATGTCAATTTTAGTTTAATGTACATGAAGGTCCTGACCTAAAAGATGTTGTATCAAAATATGAAGTTAATCCATTTATAAATAAGAAGGTTATAGCCAGTTACAGAATTTCATTAATTTTACCTTGATGGTCAAGGTCAATTAAAGGTCAATGCCATATCTTGAATATTCAATATGTTTGTTCGGAACCAATTCTTCTTCTGTCAGGGTTGAATCAAATCCTTACAAATTATGACAATTTAACCAAAATTCAATACTTTAAAATTGTCAGTCAAGATCATTTAAAGCTCAAGGGCACGGTAATTTCAATCTTTTAGAAGATCTTGTCCAAAAGGTTGTTTAGTTAAATTATGACGATAATTTGATTATCAATTACGATGTTTAAGTCAATCATAGCACAAATCAGTGAAATTTTAACAATTTAACTTTCAATGCCAACTTCACAAATGAGCCAAGATCAACTTGAGCTTAAAATACATGGATGTCCTAAAGATTATTGTATCTTCATATAAAGTAAATCCATCTATTAATAACAAAGTTTCAGCCAGTTACATAAAAAAAGAAAGTTTCAATACTTCAAGGTCAAGGTAATTTATGGGTGAAGGTCAAGGTCTGTCTGATTAACTTGAAGGTCTATCCTAGAAGATTAAAATGACAAAGTTATAGCCACTAGTAGCAAAAATCAGCAAAATGCAAGCAAACATTAGTCATTCAACCTTAAAGATCAAGGTCATTTTTGAATGAAAGTCAAGTTAAGTCTTGTCTACTTGAAGGTTTTGTTCCAAGGGTTGCTATGGCCAAGTATGAAGACAATACACTAAGAACCTTTTAAGTAATGATTAAGGTACAGGTTTGCGAACGCAAACGCAACGGCAACGATAACGGGAAAGCCGACATGACTGTTACAATACTTTTATTTATTTTTAAAGTCGAGCTAAAAATGATTTACTTGGAAAGAGCACATGATAAATGACATCAAAATGTGTGTTTCTTAAAATCGGAAGACTTCCTTTAATATGTATGTCTAGTAAATGTCCAAAAGAGACATGGTTTGATAAAAGTAGTAAGTTGATAAATTATCTTTAAAATCTATTTTTGAAAATTCGCTGTCTAAAATCAAAACTTTATACAATTTTATGAAAACAGCAGCAAACAGAAATTGTTTTAAATCCACATGCCTTGATGTTGTATCCTGCCTTACCCATTAAAAATGCCTACCTATCTAGGAGACATTACCAGAAAAAAACTTATTGCTTCGGCCTAAACACGACACTAACTACAGTAGACAGTACACTTGTCTGGGTAAGATAAAATGAACTACATGTTTACATAAACAACCGTTCAAGGTCATTTGTAAAAGGTTAACACTTTAGAATACTTTTTCGCACACTTTAGGTATATATGAAGTTCAAATAAGTTAATTTTTACCCTGATAGTCATTTTTCTGAGTTTCGTCATATAACTGAGCCGCCCTTTACAATCAGTTGTGCTTGATACAAAATTTATAAATTGAAGCAGGCCTCTATTATGGTAAATGGTAAAGGTAGGTACCGGCTTATCATGTTTGTAATTTGAAACAGTTTTGAACTTTATTTAATTTGAATGATATATTCTGACAAATAAACTGTTAAGTCAATATTAACCCAGAAAAAAGAAATTATGCTTAAGTTACTTCGTTTTAGGGATTTCCATTTAAAAAGTAAGCACCCAGTTTTATTATTTGCGAAAAGTCAGATATTAAATAACCTTATAACAGTTTATTTCTGTATCGTTAAGTGTTTGCAAGGAAAGTAGTGTATAAAAAAAATGTGTTCGTCATATTCACTTTTTTGTTTTCATAATTAAAATCGTCAGATTTCATAGTAGAGAAATATAACAAATACGGACCGAATAACATTGATGAACCCGATCTGTACTATATTTCCTTTCTTCTTTTAATTTTCTTTGGTTAAATATTAAATACTTGTCCGAAATGTGGTGATTTCAACTCTTTAGGTGCATATTATTTATATTTCGTTGATAGTTGTCATGTACCTGTATGTTCTAAAGGAAACCTTTTTAGTACGATTCATTCTAAACCCGAATAAAGAATCAGACCAGACGAGCTGGTCATAACTTACGCAGATATATACCATAAGTAAAGTTAAATACACATTCATAATTTTTCACAACGTCATAATGTCAATGTTCAATAAAAGATATCAATAATAAATATATTCATTTTGAAAACAAATGTTTTATTGACCACGTAACGCATCATGTAGATGAATATCTTACGCATTTGTATTGTTTTGCGGATTTCAATGTTTCTGTATATACAAGCCACATAATGGTGTCACATATATTAATCGTATTCAAAGATGTATCATTACACCCCTTGCCTTGCCCGATTTATTCCCGTATCGGCCCCTTTTAGTTATTATCATTTCACTTATTGCATGTCTCTCTCCCAATCTTTTTATTTCATATGGAATTTTATTAAAAATAACTTTCAGTGCGTGTTTAAGAAACATGGTTATCTGTTTCGTAGAAAACCATACCATTTATTTTTAAGTTGGGGTTTCCAATCTATTTAAAGAATGGAATTTCCAATCAAATTGAAAACGCAATAAATTACAGTATAAATATCTTAAACCGAAACTTTGACCTGTAAATATGATATAAAGTCAACTGAATATGTAGTCGAACTTTATACTTATAGGCCTCGTCTTATATATTGTATAGGCCTTATAAAAAGCAAAAGTATCTGATCATATTAAAAAATCTGTTTACAAAGTAGTTCAAACTATGCATTTTGGCTAAAATGTAAACATAACAATTTTCAACTTACTCACTTACGATTAGCTTGTTGTTCGAGTTTGTTTCAAAATAATTTGAGCCGCGTCATAACAAAACCAACATAATGGGTATCAGTTTCTCTATTTGTTATAGAGTTTATAAGCGAACAGCATGGATCCTGATCAGACTGCGCGGATGCGCAGGCTGGTCTGGATCCATGCTGGTCGCAAACCCATTATGTTGGTTATGTCATGACGTGGCTCATTTGTCAGAGAAGGTTTATTTTACGCACTTTTAATTTTTGGATTGACAGTTTAACTCACACAGATTTTTAGATACATAGCCGATCCGCAGTCACAATCACAATTATATAAGGGGGATTAATTCAAAATAAAATATCCCGACAGTTTCTTCATAAATTACCTGCTATCAGTGTTTATTTTACTGATTATGAGTTAAATCTAATGACAAAACTTTATTTATGTAAGTTAATAAGTTCAATTTTTAGGAATTTTGAAGAAAAGAAAGGAAGCCTTATTTTCTAAATCTTACTTAAATCTGAAAACAATAGCAGTAAATATTATATGCCAATTTTGTAAGACATTCATGTGAATTGGTGTTTGTGAGTTCTATACCGTCACTCCAGTAATTTCCAATATAATGTAATTTAATACATACATGCCATGTTTGTTATTATGTAACATTTGTCATTTATGGCATTCAATAAATGCCCTATTTAATTCAACCTAAGTGTTGTGTTTTACCTCATAACAAACAAGTTTGTCTTGCCAGTTATATTTGCTTGACCTGGACAATCCATAAAATGTAATTGTTTCACAAAAATGTCGAGAGACATTTCGTGTTACATTTCATGCATTTTGCTTTATACGTTTCTAGTGATGTTTCAAAGCTTCTATATACTTTTTCTTCACTTTATGACAACATAGTTCTATAGTGAATAAAGACTATACAGCGTCATATAACAGACCGGATATTGATGTAGCCAATGAACATCTGCGATAGCTTCAATCATGCACTGACTAATGAATTTTGAGACTAATGCCAACAGTAACAATATGAATAGAAGTAATACTCATTGACCAACGAATCTTTCTTTATGAATTAAAGATACTATGCTCAAATTTGATATTTGCAAATATTGATAATTGATACACAGTCTCTTTGTAAACAAAGTTTTTAACTTCATACAAAGTAAATATGTTATATCTTAAATTCTACAAATAACAGGTGGTCACAATATAAATACGAGTATACTGGAAGATTTTTAAAGAAAAGACCAACTTTACTATAGTTATTCATTCTTTAATTCAAGTTAGACGTATTTAGTTAGAATTTCATAGATTTCCACTAATTTCTGTGATTAAATTTTTTTCACTAAAAGTTGAGCATAATATATCTTTAATTTTACAAATAATCAGCATTGATTAGCAGCATGTCTTAATTAAACACTTTACACGCCCATATAATCATGCATAAATGCTAATATTTGCCAAACCCCAGGGGTCACCTGATATAAATAGAGTTGTTATGGAAAAAGACAATGATGTCTTATTTTGTAAAACTAAATATTTTGAATGTAGCATCGCCTCGTGGGACTCAACAAAACTGACACATATCATTCCCCTTGGGTCAATATTTGGCCTGACCGCGGTTGATACTTATTTGCTAGACTTTTATAGGATAAAATATGTAAGTTTTATTTATTAAAAGTGCTAAGATAGCTGGCATTGCATTATTGATCTCTACAAAACTGACATGAATCATTAGTATGGGGTAAACATTGGCCTCAGCCTAGGGTCACCTGTTTTTTGTAGATTTATAAACATCTTTAAGTAATTTACTCATTTACTATAAACGCACGCCCAGAACTACAAAAGTTATAAATACCACGACCCTCGTGGTCAACATTTGTCACATGCCTTATATAGTTTAATGTTTTAGAAAATACATCAGATATATTTTTATATAAAAAAAACTACAGTATTTTACGTTTATACATTTGACATGTAGCATTGCCTGGTATACCTCTATAAACTATAAAGTTTGTAAAATCGTGCACCTAGCATAAAAAAATGCTCCAATCCTGGGGGTTAATTAGAATTATAACATGAATTCAGATAAAAAAATGGTTTAGTTTTGTGAATGATTCTCTTCTCTAACTTAAAGATAATTTTGATTACTCATACACATTTTCGGGCGTATATAACCCCGCCTTTGCGGAACTCTTGTTTTTTTACACTTGATTTGTAACCGTTCCTTTTAAATACCCGAAATATAGAAAACATTGTTTTAAACGTCTTCGGTTGCCAGAGATTTTTCAAGATTTCTAAAAAAAATAGTGTATGAATCATCTTCATCTGTATTATAATGTATACATATATAATATGTAATGTAATATTTATAAACATTTACAATTGAAAAAGTATTTGATTCAAGTTGTTTGTCTCGTTGACAAAAAAAAGATAGAGAAAAGTTGTAATAGAGTTATGCTCACGCTTGCCCTAGCAAAGAAGTTAGCTTTTCATATCCAGAAAAACTCATGATCTCTACCTCTAGTTTATTCACGAAAAAAACTCAAAAACATATTAAGTCTCGCAAACGAATAATTGTCATTATGGCGAAAGTTCAATTATGTTTTTTTTTAAATTGTGCAATAAAGGATTTAAAAATAGATGTAAGATGCTGATCACTAGTAGGAAATTAAGATGTTTAATATTTGTGAAAAGGTAAGCAACATGTAAACAAGGTGATATATTTGTCTTCAATACATACTGCTACTTCACAATATTTGTACTTTTGTTATAACGCAAAACAAAGATGGTTCACCTATATACCTTATGTGTAACTTAGGGAAACTATCAGAGAACACAAACAAATAAAAAAGCTTTTGTAAAATAAAGTCCAAAGAATATTGAGGGGTAAATAATCTCTTAATCCAAACACAAACACACATTAAAAAGTAATACCCTTTTATTTGATAACTTTGATAAACATTTGTTAACAAGTTGATGTTCATTACGAAAATCATTCAATAAATAGAATCAATGTTGCCTAAGTATAAACAAGGTCGCTTCAGCCAATGTTTGTAAGATATATAATCTACAATATGAAAAACAAGATCAAGAAGGAAGGGCGGCATTCAATCAACGCATCCCCTAAGTAAAATATATTTTTAGAAAATTATTATCTTAATAATGAACACTTTGCAAACAAAAGTTCAAATATGGAATGATCCTCGCAAAATGTATAAAAAACAACAATAAAAGATACTACTTTGTCAATATAACATGTTCATTTTACAGTACAGAAACTGATTAAGTTAACATCGATTTATACTATTTATACTATTAACGTGCTACTATAATAATGATTTCAGTAAGTTAACATTGTTATTATGCCAAAAAGTATCAAGAAACCGTCAGCATATTTTTATAATTTGTTGTATACACCGTACAATGGAATTCATAAAGATGTTTGCAACATAGTCAATACACATAATGTATAATCTATAATAAGGCGCCCGCTGAGGCGTCTTCCAGAATATTTTTGTGTAGGCATACATAACATTCAAGCAAATAATCATTATTTTAACAACAGTAACGAATATATTTTTAAGTAACATTGCTGTAGTTAAATTTGATTAGTCATTGTTTATTAACCTAGACTTCATCAATAGTATTTCAACTCTTTCATTATGTAACAAACGAGTTCATGTAAGTTGAAATAACATCGCAAACAATAATGGTCATAAATTTCAACAGTCTGTTACAGCAAGGTAGTTAATAAAACCTTTGTTTAAAATCAACAACAATATTTTATCTTTGCTGTTCTATCTGGTATGCAATCTACAGAAATGTTATAATTAAAAAAAAGTTAATTTAAACATATCACGAAATTGAATGCCTTGTTAGCCGCAAACTGTTTATACTGCAAACACTTATCACATTACATTTAAAATGTAAACAAGTCAATTCACTGTCACTTTATGCAAGGAAGAATAACACTCTGTAATTAAAACCGCATTTTGACACCAATTAATATAAATTAATATAACATATCTGATTGAAAAACACTAAGTCTGTGCAGTTTCCATGCCATTACCTATAGTTCGTAGATGAGTCTTGTAAATGGCAGTGTTTTTCCCCACACATTTGGGACAGAAGGCAGATTTAAAGATCCTGTATGCTGTAATTTAGGTTGTAACCACACTTAGGTGAAATTTTGTATATTTTTTATGCGTTCAATTATGCTTCTAAAGCAATTTTCAAACATCGGAGAATATGTAAAATTCATACTGCAAATATTTGTTCACATTATATGTACTCATTAAAATACGCATTTATTTCTTACCGAAGAATTTGACTTAGAATTTATAGAAAATAAGTTTTTTTACTACCCCACCCCGCCTTTATACCACATTTGTTACCACCTTACATTCATCAATGCTTTGACTAGAGTGTTACACACTGGACAAATATCGTAAAATAAGTAACAATCATTGCAGAACAAAAGATGTGGACATGGGCAACTTAGAAACACAACTTCACGAACTTTGTTCTTGCAATGGCGGCAAAATAGTATGTTTCTCAGTCTTTGGTTTTCGTTGTTCAGCTCCAATGTTTCATCAATTCCATCACATGAAATATCAAGTGAAGCTGTAAAATATTAAACAAACTACTGAATATTTCTTAGTAAAAACACAAAATGATACACAACAAAATAAGGGCCACACAATTTTAAATTTATGAACGAAATTGTTGAACAAACTTGAAAGGGTTACAAGCGTTGCAAACAACATAGCACTACACTCTATAAAATGTATCGTTGCAGTGTTTTCCTTAAATAAGACATGATATCATAAAACGCGTTGCAGGTGTGAATAATCTAGACTTAAATTTTGGAAAACAATAGTTTATTTTATTGTGGAACAAATAGTAACGACATGAACTGATGAAGACGGTCATCGTCTATCATATGAATCTATAAGTGAACATCACATTTACACCAAGGTTAAAGCAAATGATATTAATATTAAATGAGAGGAAAAAAACGAAAGGGACACATAATCTAACGATTTAGAATATTTATGAAATGGTAAGTGATTATTTAAATATCAGTGTAAAACTTATTGTAGAGGTGATGCACTTTCAGCACTAATACATACATTTATAAAAAATACTTGACCTATAGCCACGCTCTAAATAGATTAATTGAATCTAAAGGCCAATTGTTTCTAATGTGTGATACTTCTGGCTTTTTTTATTCATGTTAATTAAATGGCCCGTAAGTAGCGACATATTGATCCGCGGACCGCGAGTTGAACAAATTTGAAAGAAATACACAAAGAAATTTTTCTTTTTAACTAACATAACCATTTTACCTTTACTTAAAATTTGCAATGTCTATTTGCCCCAGCCAGTTCTATATATACTCTAAATCAAATGCCTATGACAACCGACGTACGTAATGTTAGTAGTTCCATACACTGTATTATCAATGGGACAATTTATAAATGAAATGCACTACATACGTGTTTGAGTTCTGAATGATTTCGTTAGTCCACTGTCTGATTTTTTCGCTGGAGCCATATCGCACATACCGACTGATTCAATGCAATCGCTTTTTGATGACGCTGAACCATAATTATTTATGCTAATCTGGTTCTCTGGTGTCCCTTGGACTGAGGCGGATTCTTCATCTTCTAAGTCTAAGATTTTCTCAATCAACATTCTGGTACTTAATGTCCGTCCATCTTAAATATTAATAAGATATTTTTAATCTGCATGCATTGCAATGTTTTATATGACTGTTTAATACTATTTTGTTATGGCTTTTTTACTCTATTAAGAAGATATCAACCTGATATTTTGAATTTTCAAAACTTGAATCTAATCTTTTTATTAACCAAAGGAACATTATTGCCTTCTAAGTCACTTCTCCAGTTTTATATAAAGATATCTATCAGTCCCTGTTTAAAAATTGGAACACATATATTTGCCTTGATATTTTATGGGGTTTCCCATATCTATCCAAAACCATTAGAGTAACAACAGAAACCGAATTTGACTGTCCGCCGCAACGCAACAAGGTCTCAAAATTTATTGGCTATCGACATGTAAAATGTCTTTGGCCATAACAATGAATCAATTTTCGAAACGGTACAATTATCTTAATGTGTGATTGTACACCAGAATTTTATTATTTTCATAAATCTACTTATAAACAATGGAAAGCACCAGTAAATACCAGCATTACTGCAGACAAATTTAGTACACGTTTACCTAAGTTCAAAAGTACTCTGTCAAGCTCCTTACACATTGTACATTCCCATATCACTACCGAATAATTAAGCATTCATCAAACAAAAGGGTCAGAAATAACATTTTCTCAAAATGTAATGAGACATTGTGAATGTAAAATCCGTTAGAGTCATATACTACCTTGAAGTTATTAAAGTGCTTTACTTTTTCGAGTTAAGTGACACAATACGACCACTGTTCATTTTTTAAAATCACCCCGCTTTCTTAAAACCATCATTTTCTTATTTTCCGTGTTGATAGTTTATTACCATTTATCGCAATACGTCTTTTGAATTATGAAGCTCCGTTGCATCGTTATATCTTCCATTAAAATAACGTCGGCAGTATACTGAACTCAAATTTAAAATCAAGGCCACTGTCTATGAAATACAGTTCTTAAATTGCTTTAAAATTAGCCCCTACTATCTTAACATACAAGTGTAATAATCCAGTCTAATATTATGATGTTCCATGAATTTCTCGGCCAGAATTTTCTATTTGCTATAAAAGTCCAGTTTTATCGTCGTACGTATGAACTCTTAGTTATCATTTCTAGAACGGATCATTAAGGTTATAAATTAAAATGTCTCCTTAAGATTTCAAAATATGATATGGTAAGAAACAAATAGTTGGAAGTTTAATATTATCTGTGTGTGTGCACTCATTTCTTAATTCTTCCATATGGCTGGAATCTAGGGGAAAGTAAAAAAATCAGATTATCTGATAACGTGATATTACAGTTACGTTAATTAAAAATAAAAACTTAAATCATTTACCATCTCTATTTCTTATCGCACGTAGAGCATTCCGTATAACATCTTGACTGTAGCCCATCTCTAGCACACTTTGGACAGCATCTGTATGCATCTCAGCATTGGCAGAGTACTCTGTGGTTGATGCTTTTAAATACATAAAAGTCTGATCACAATAAAGTGTTAAAATATGTATTTTTTAAATTTCTAGTTTCTAGTTATATAATATATTTTTTATACATTTTCATTGCATTTCAATATGTGGTCATTAATTTCAAAGTCTTTGAATAATATATTTTTTGCCCACTGACTACTAGTACTTCCAAAAAAGTAAGAATTGTTACAAATAACGTTTTTGAACAGAAACAAAAAATGCTCGTGGAAATCCGCATAGACTACCACAAAGTATACAACAAGGCTTTTATGGTACCAATTTTAATATGTTTCATATATTATAATTTTAAACTGATCTCACCAGCTGTAATGGTGACTGAAGCCTGGCTGTTTCCATTTGTCTGTTAAAGTAAATAAGAAGATGTATGTATCTTATTATAATAAAAACACTTTAAAATATATACATTTTTTAGTCATTTTTTAAACCTGAAATGTTTATTGGATGAATATTTATTCAAGTACACAAATCTATTATTCTACTCTGTGCTGTGTAAGGCAGACTCTCACTTCTAATAATATCTAGTAAGTAATATCGGTCTGGGTGGTATAAATCGGCTTGTTAATACAGTTTGCGATGAGGAACTGAACACCAAGGTCATATGCCCGAGTGGCTGTTATCTTTGCGTCAAGTCGACATCCTATTGTGATCCCAAAATGACGAATATGGAAATTTGCATAGGTTACTTTTCAAGTATTGATTGCCGATATGCACATTTCGCATCCTACGCTTAGGTAAAATATAAAAAATAAGGAAATGAAGAAATCTTTTGCATCTTAAAGAGAGTGGGTTTCTTTTTTTTTCAAGTATAACTTGATTGACCAATCAAATAAAAATGTCAATCTGCGACTGAATTATCTTCACATCGGTGCTTGATAAACTCAACTTCACACCACATGAAAAGTGAGTCGTGACGTCATGCTAGCACTTTTACTGACTGATTAGTTTGACTATGAATGGTGTAATATTCTTGTTATACTTTATCAATTGAAACAGGTTAAGATGAAATTCAACATACGGCGCATTAATTGTTTGTGAAGTATTATTTAGTATGAAATGAAACGAAAAAATAATAAGTAGAAAATACAAAAGCAAAGCATTTTAAATGTTGCTTTAGAATGTTAATATGTATGAAAAGAACAAGCGAATATATTTCTTCATTTAGTTGGTTGTATGTGAGCGGGTTTCATTGACAGATACTAAAACCGGTTACTCTCTTCTTTGTTGAATATGACAATATCTTAATATCAGGAATTTTATATAAACAAGAACAAAAATTACTAGTTATGATAGAATTTTTATAAACTTTAAGATTGATTAATTTGTTTTAATGTTAAATAGTTTTACTAAGCGTAACATTTCCGTGATGATATAAGAAACTTACATTCTGATAATATTGCACAGCCATTTGTACAAGATTCACGAACTCTTGACCTCTCACTTGTTTAACAAATAAACAATCCTTTGACCATCTACTATGCTCGATCCAAGGATCATCTTCTTCTGACCAATGACGAAGACCTGAAAATCAAGTTTATTTACAATCAAATTGATATTATATTAATATGAAAAGCACTTATTCCGTAAGTTATAAAAGATGCGTTTAAACCGAATTCAATAAGCCCCTAAAGACTTGAAAATATAATATGTATATTACCAGTATCTATCTTAGTAAGTGTACAAACTTGTATTTTATTTAAAAACAAAAGAAATTTAAAAAACATGTTTTCTTATTAAATCAGATAAGCAACACAATTAAAGCTATGCCAACATGATTATTTTGATGTTATATTAGGCAGGTTTTTATACATAAATATCTACGCTATCTTGTATTCATAGCTATTAACTCAATCTTCATATGGTGCGTTCCTGTTTATGCATGTGATAAAATACTTCAGCTTACTAGCAAGTTTCTTCTTCCCTACAGTAAAGTACTCACCAACGCCACACTGGAAGCACCTAACACAGTCACCAAAGCCTGCATAGAAAAATCCTGAGGTAGCCAAACTATCTGGTGGTATCACAATGTATCCACAATCATTGTAGCTTGACACCCTGGCAGTTTTGCTGGCATACTTGGGATATTTTGGAGGAGTAGATCTGTCAGTGCCTTAAATAATATGCATTTATATTATTGTTAAATATATTCCCTTGTTCTTAAAACTACATCATGTTAATTAATTTACCCGTAGAGATGATTGTGTTAAAGAGCTTCAAACCCATTCAGTTTACAATCACTGCTCCAATATTTGTAAATCTGATTTTCTCTTTTAAATTTACACAGTACAACGCACTGCATAAAATGTGCAACATTTACAAGCAAGTTATTCTATAATACAATTTCATGAGGTTTGCTTGACAAACTTTAATGGTCAGGTATGCCTTTAAAAATCTGGAGGCTTTTTAAATTTTGTGTTAGTTTGTTTTAAACTATACGCACAAAATTAGCTCGGGTATCATTTATAACCAAGGTTACTATGTCGATCTTTAGTCATTATTACAAATAAAAACATTATATGTGTAAACAAGAGCACTGGTATGTTAGTTAATAAAGAAGAGAAGAACTATATATGATTTCATAATGAATGTATATTATTTACTGTGTATTATTATGAATAAAATATCTTTAAACTAAACTCATATAATTAGTTAGTAGAAAATGTTAAATATCAAGTCGTTTATAACGTTTTGTAGTTCTCCTTTGATAACATAGACACCTAAAATGTTCTTACAACAGTTCAAGTTGAACTTGGGAGGAATATGCTCAGTCAACACTGTAACTGAAACTGACTTTGATATCAGAAGTTAACAAAAGTACCGTATGTTGTGGGCAATATGCCCCGACTTTTTTAATTTAAAATGAGTTTTTAAAGTATCGTATAGGCCGTTCAGGCACATTACGCCGGATTAATATACAAGTGTTATAGGATGGGTATTACGGTCATATAAGTTAACAGTTAATCAAAGTATGTTATAAGTTATTATCTGTCATACTTATTGCATGGTATATACAATATTATAGTCAACCAATCATATTGTTGCAGTGATAATTGAATGGTATAAATAAGCTGAATTTGGCAATGTTAGTTAGGATAAAATTTGGTACCTATTATGGTCAGTACTACAAGGCTTACCCTTGAAATTCTTAACTAGACTTAGTCCAAAAAAGCAAAAGTTTACGTTTTTTATTGTCAACATCATATAAAATATCTCATTGATATAATCTAAATTAAATAATAAGTAGAGTTGTTCTTAATAGAAATAAATATCATTTCCTTATTATACTTCTAAAATTTGTAAGAACTTCTCAAATAATAAAAGCATTGATTGAAATTATTAGTTGTTGTTGCTTAGTCCATCATCTTTATATAGTGACACATATAAGTCTACTGAGTCCAGAGAATTTACTCCTGTTATAAAAAATTGTGATCGTTTGGTCTCCTCCACATATCCTTTAACTTAAAAGTCCGACGGCAAGTTATTTCATATACGGTGAAACGGGAGGCATGCCATTGTCTGTAGATATCGGAAAAAGAGTAGTTTAATTTCGGGAACGAAAATGGTTTAATACCAATTGTCATACATACTATGTATATACTTATATACTAAAAAATTCAATACAGTAAGTATTAAATGATAATGATTTTGAACATAACTATCCGTTGATTTATGATTCTAAATAAATAAAATGCGGTTTCAACAATATTTGAAATTATATTTATTTTCCCGATACAAAATGGTTGGAATTAACAGTAAGACAAAAAATAAATACACATTATTTCATGTAGTTTGAAATAAATTTTAATTACTAATAACTGATTTCTTAAATATCATTAACATTTTGGTTAATTAATACTTACAAGAGCAAAAATCCTGTAGAACTTGTTCTGTCTGTTCAATTTCCATCGCCATCTGTTGCAAGGACTGTAGTGAGCACAGATCATTATTAATTAACATTATTTTTCTATTCTTCCTCAGTTGTATCTATTTTGGAATATTTTTTTAAAAGACGTTTTAAGATAAAATTATTTGATTTTAGTAAAGTCCATTCACATAGTGTTCAGGTACCTTTACTGCAAAGGTGGTAAGGCTATCGTGCATTATCAAGAAAATATTTTGTGTTTTGGTTTGACACCACCGTACATATGCGTTTCACAAATGAAGGAGTATTTTAGGCGACCCTTCCGTTAATTCGATCCTCCAGAAATATTTAAGTCCCATAAGAAGGCACTAGAGTAGAACCACCTACCTTTCATATTCTCCTTAACAATAAAGTGTCCAAATGTGCCTGGCAGGATTATACTTTACATTTGATTCAAAGTTAAAAATCTTAAAACCTTCTCCGTCATGAAGGCAATCTTGTATAATAAATATCTTTTCGAAACATTTTGTTTTATCAGTTTCATGCTCGCATATCTGTCACCAATTTCTTTACTGGCCAATTTCTCTAACATTTCATTCAAAACTATTACCTTTTGCAATGATTGTATCCTTCTTGCTGATTTTTCTATACCTTCCTGTAATTCAATCAGCTTTTTCTTAAACGTTTCATGCGCCATTTTTACAGTCTTTTCTCACTCTTAGGAACAATAACTGAAATAAGAAGTTTGGAATTTTTCGAACATCAACTATTCAATAAATAATTGATTAACGGAATTAAGTTCAACTATTTCTGTTATCGGACGAACAAATGGCAAAAAAAGACAATATTAACTATTCAAGAATGAAAATGAAACAGAAATTTATGTACATTCAAACAAAAATAACAAAAATACATTATAGGGCGCATTATCCGTGTGGAGTAGCTCCTCCTAAAAGTTGAGACTGGTCAATTATGAAGCTGTGCCAGTTAAAGAAAGAATATGTTTTAATTGTAGTAATAACATTGGAGATGAGCTACATGTCCTTGTTATATGTCCACTTTATTTGCACCAAAAAGAGGCGCTTTTCCGACATATATAAAACAAAGGACAGATTTCTAACGAATAGTGATAATAAGAAATTCATATATTTGCTATCAAATGAAAATATTGTAAAATATTCTGCTAAAGCCTGCTTTGATATATTATGTGTAAAGCGCTAGTTATTATATAATGTATTTCTCTGTATACATGTCTCATAGTCAAAAGTTGAAAACTAGTTAGTAAGCCTTTGTTTTATTTGTGTAATATAAGTTTCATTGCTGTCACATATTTCAGCTTTTAACAATAATTTGATATATTTATTTTGTTTAAAATGGGTTTTTATTTAATATCACGTTCTTAGTCTCTAATAACTCTATAAGAGTGGTTTTGTACAAGTATTTCTTTTATAACTGTTATATTCTGTTGATGTATGTACAAAGGTGAGACTTAAATAAACATATTGTCTTGTCGGTTCAAATGAGGAAGGTTCAAATAATCTTTAAAATAACCCCTTTTCTGACATAAAGCCTTGGACCAATATATTTGAAGAGTATTACTACCTTGTAGACTTTTCACAAATCAAAATACGCCCTTTAACTATCACTTTAATATTTTCATAGAAACATAGAGAAAGAGTTTTTAAGTTGTACTTGGTTACCTAAAAATAAGCTATGTTGGTGTAAAGCATTGTTTATATATTTGCTCAGGTCATGACAATGGGCTCAAAATTGGCCCCGGACTATAGTTGACCTGATTCTACAAGGGTTAAAATCAATTGATTTTACAGTCTGAACTTTTTCAGAGCTTCAAAACCCAAATACTTAGAGCTATTCGGAGGATTAACAACTACCATGTTTGTGTTATGAGCCTGTGAGCTCACTTGATCTCGCGTAAAGCTATCATTATTTGCTTATCCAAACCTGGAATATCTAGAGTTGAGGTATTTGAATTGTTTATTCATGATTATATGGTAAAAGTAAGCCGCCATATGCAGTCAATTGATTTTACATTATATTTAAAGTTTTTTGTTTTGTTTGTTTGTTTTGGGTTTTACGTCACATCGACACAGTATAGGTCATATCGCGACGTTCAAGCTTTATTGATGGAGGAAGACCTCAGGTGCCCTTCCGTGCATTATTTCAGGCACGAACGGGCACCTGAGTAGAACCACCGACGTACCGTAAGCTAGCTGGATAGCTTCATCACATAAAAGAATCCAAAGTCCCTGTCAGGATTCGAACCCTCAGCGGTGAGGGGCAAGTGGTTTGAAGTCAACGACCTTAACCACTCGGCCACGGACGCCCCTTATATTTAAAGACTTTGAAAAATGTCTTCCCTCTAATTGCAGAATTTAGAGCTTTATTAGTTTGTGTATAACTGTAAAATATATAATTACAACGTTGAATCAGATCATAAGGTCCTATTAGTGATCTATTTTGAACGGGCCGATGCTCAAGAGGGTTTACGGTACTTTGAGCTATAACCTTAAAAAGTTGACCACATAGCTACCATGGCATCAATTGACCTATATTCTAACATTGTTACTGCATTTTTGTTATAATTGTCAGCATAATGTAGATTCTTTTAAGAGATAGGTGAGTTATGTCCCTTTGGTTTATTTTTATTATAAATTATTATAAAATAAGGTTTTAATTACTATTTCTTTACATAATCAAGTTAATTTAAGTCACTAATTTTAAATATCATGGGTAAAGTTTATTTCACAAGTATCAGTTAAAATTGTTTTATGTCCTCGTTGATTAAATTCTCTTGAGCATGCGCACAAGAAACTTGTGACTCATTTAGCAACCAAGGACTATATAAACTACCATGTTCATGCATATCTATTTTTAAACAGAAAATGTTCAGTAAAGAAAATTATGATTATAACACATTAATTTTTTTTATAAAAAATACCTTTTCATAGAAAAGTTTAAGTAAGACAATTTATGTAAACAAATATTTTTTAAAGCAAATACTTTAATTCTGGATACAAAGCGATATGAAATGAATGGATTAATAGTAACTTGTGTGACAAAAATATAATTAAAATCGGATTTTACGAAGGTTAGTTTTATTTTATTTATGTTTGTTTCTTTTTCTTTATATTTTATGTAAAACAAAAGAAAAAAACATATACAATTGCAAATAAGTAAATTTATAGTTACACAATCTGTTGGAATCCCTGTATCGCGCTGTTTTCTGAAAATTGTAAAGGCTAAAATTAGAAATTACGAATTTTCTAAAAATACCATTTTGATATCGTAGCAAATTCTAAATATAGCTAAAAATCTGGTGAGTGAGTGGTTTTAATTTTATCTGACATCGGGTCGTATAGGAAGTATATGAATGAAACGCTTGACATGATGTAAACGGTCATAGGAACTCGAGAACGGGACCGCAGATTGCGGCGCATATTTTCGATCGTGTAACGGTTTTTAAAAACGTTTCTGTTACATCTAAATATCTTTTAGTATTATCCGAGTATATGGCCTCAAAAAATATATTATCAATTGAACCCAATCTGTCTCTTTTAAAATTGGTCAAATTTTCGGTATTATAAAAAAAGACAAGGAGTGACATCCGCCATTCGCCGCAACGTTTTCGGCATGAGTTTTTCCCCTTTGGCTACAATTGATTACTATTTTTTCAGAATTTTGTTCCCGGTATTTTTGTCAACTATCAGGTATCGTCCAGATATGACGTTCACGGTTTATTGATTACACCACAGGGGGCCCACACAGTGTTTGGATTGTATATACTGCTTGATAGTGACCTTAAAATGAGATTTTAGTCATAACCTTATAATATGTATATAAATATAGACAAGGGTCATTACTCGCTAAATAGAGAATTTTCGATCACCCTCAAATTCATGCGAGATTTTCCACTAATTTAATAAAAAAATCCAAAAACTATACTGCGTTGCATAGCTTATATAATCCACAATTGATAAACACTAACTCTATTCTGATTCCCTTAGCCCATTTTAAGAAATTTATTCAAAACCGTTCACTTCTGTCAGTCGTACGAGATGTCGCAACACCAAATTCCACGGGTAAAATATCAATTTTAAAAGGGGTAGGTACAAATAAACGCATGCAAACAATAACACAACATAGTTTCTATTACCTACCTGCGCAAATAGTCGTGAAGCGCTCTATATTCGTCTGTTTCGAACGAAATCTTCAAATCAGTGCAGAAATCTGCTTCTGCGAATACATGTTGGAAATTCTGGTCATGGTGTATGGAAACCTTTCATTGGTTGTCGTTATAAACAAAGTTCCTACCGAACTAATGAAAGGTCTCGATACACCGGCTGCTCACGTGACCGGGGTTTCCCCAAGATGTCTACGTCGAAGCAGATTTCTGCTCTGATTTGAAGATTTCGTTCGAAACAGACGAATATAGAGCGCTTCACGACTATTTGCGCAGGTAGGTAATAGAAACTATGTTGTGTTATTGTTTGCATGCGTTTATTTGTACCTACCCCTTTTAAAATTGATATTTTACCCGTGGAATTTGGTGTTGCGACATCTCGTACGACTAAGCAATTTTGTGACAGAAGTGAACGGTTTTGAATAAATTTCTTAAAATGGGCTGAGGGAATTAGAATAGAGTTAGCGTTTATCAATTGTGGATTATATAAGCTATGCAACGCAGTATAGTTTTTGGAATTTTTTTATTAAATTAGTGGAAAATCTCGCATGAATTTGAGGGTGATCGAAAATTCTCTATTTAGCGAGTAATGCCCCTTGTCTATATTTATATACATATTATAAGGTTATGACTAAAATCTCATTTTAAGGTCACTATCAAGCAGTATATACCATCCAAACACTGTGTGGTCCCCCTGTGGATTACACGTGTTGACATGTATAGGCGGCATTATAACGGGCGTATTCGTGTTTTAATTTGTTAACATGGAGAAAACAGACACTTTAGTAATATAGTCCAACTGATTTTGCCTAACTGAAAAAAGGAATATCAAAACAAGATCAATGGATAAATTTTTTAGGCACTCATCTGGTATTCATTACTAGAAAAATTAAAACAAAAATCAAGCATATCCAGAGAACGTTGCGGTAAATGGCGGATGTCACTCCTTTTCTTTTTTCAATATACCGTAAATTTGACTGATTTTTAAACAAGCAGATTATATTGAATTGAGATTAGATAATTAAAGACCACCCGCTCGCATAATAAGAAAAGATATTCAAAGGTCGGACAAACAATATGTAAAGCCGGTATGGATTCGGATTTATGCGCCGCAATATGCGGTCCTGTTCCAGAGTTCCTATGGTAAACGGTATCTGTTTACCCACTCAATCAAAATTTAACATTTTTCATGAATCCGAAGGTATTCTATATTGAAAGAGTATTTTTATAGATCCCTACATTTCCCATATTTGTCTCAATATAATTATCATATCAGTGGATTACAGTATAAATTTCACTTAAACATAATTGTTCACAAATAGAACACATGTCAATGATTGTGATTGAATTTATTGTTATTCCAATATGAGATCTATCAATCGTCGCTGGATATCAAATCCAAACTATTTAGTTCTTGTAAAAACCACGTTTACTCATAAGCCCCTCATCGTCTATGTCTTTAGGCAAACTGCAGTGCTCTAAGTTGCTAGGAAAGCGTAGTATAACACCAGATAAACGCGATGTTTAACCTTTTACCCCATAAGCATATTGCGAAAAATGGCCGTTTTCATTGAGAATTCTCCTGTAACAAGTTCCAACTGCTATGAAACTATGAAAAATGCTTCAATACTGATGAAACTTGGCATAAATGTTGACTAGACCATAGCCTCAGTAACAGCATGCTCAATCGTAAATTTCCTATTACCATGGCAACGGGGGGACGTCTCAAAATTGCCAAAAATCGCTATTTTGCATTGTCTTTTTTTTTTTCATCAAAACTGATTTCAAAGTGCTGCAACTTCTAAATCAATTGAGATAGAGTAAAAGGCTTTTCAGCGTCGGTTACTAGTTACCTTAAGATCGACCTGAGGCCATTTTTAGCCTGTCACATGTCCAAAATTTTCTTGGCGATAAAACCCCCCCAAACAGGGCACATCCCCCTTCTGGCAACCCCCTGATGTAACATTTGGATGGGGGTTGCGCCGAAAAAGTGGTAACTTTTTTTTAACAACATTTCTTAAACGAAAAACAGTGTTTGGGGCCTAAATAGGACATTTTTTTCACTGTTTGAGGCCTCAAAAAATTGGGGGGGGCAAAAAGCCGTCGAAACACGCTTATATAAGGGAAAAGGTTATTTTAAATGAATGGTTAAGTAAACAACTAATTTAGGCGTTCTCATTTTAAGAAAACGTTTGAGCAAAGACTAACATTATTTTAGGAAAACACAATTTTGTATCTATTTTGCTATAAAGTTATTTATAGATGCATCTAGAACATTCCCATAGTAATGTTATAATGACTGAGTGTTGTAACTATAAGTTCTGCCAGGTTATTAAACATGAACCGGGTTTATGTCAGTAAAGTTACTTTATCCTAACGTTACATCTGAAACAAACTTGAATTTTTTAATCTTTAGCATTTGAGAAATGAACGTTTATAGAAAATGGGGTGTACAGCATATAATAAGTTCCGGATATGACATAAAATTAATAATTTAGATATTTACGTGAAAAGAAACAGACAAAATGATATTTTAAGAAAAGTCCGCTGGTAAGTTAACACTTTTTTCTTATAGTCCAAGAAATTTGTGAAAAAATTGTGCACCTTCTGTGAAAAGCATGAAACTTGGCATGGTGTCAGGGAATGGTATTTCAAGTTATTTCAGCCTGGGATCCACTTTTTAAAAATCCAAGATGGCCGCCGAAATCCAAGATGGCCGCCAAAAGTAAAATGTACACAGGGCATGTCAAAATGAAGATATTTATGACTAGAAAATAATATCAATTGACATTATAGGTCAAAAATATTAATTTCTTGGAAAAATGCTGAAGTAGTATTGGTAGAAAATTCAAAATGGCGTCAAAATCCAATATGGCTGCCGTTAAATGATAATATTTTGACAAATTTCTATAATAAAGGTAATTTGTATCATCAACACTTTTCATACATATAATAAACTAAAAAAAGTGGCAATCTTGCATAAAAACTGCATACACAGATGTACATTTACAGAGAAAAAAAACTTGCATTTATGGATAAAACCATGCGAGCACATTATTTAGCTTGATATTTAAATGAATAGGGAGCAACTGATAGTGTACACCAAAGGCGTCAGCTTTACAATTTGGCTAAGTTTTTCATGCAAGTTGGTTTTGTTGGAATATGTTAAACCCTAATAGACTTATTGTTTAGCATTATAGAAGGTCACCATTAAAGTTCAATAACTCTTTCATGGATTTTTACATTAAATATAGAGAATTCTTCATAATCTAGGTTCTTGATTAGCTTTAAAGCACCGAGAACAGTCGAGCGCTCTATGATGTCCTACCGATAGCTCTTGTCGATGTGCATGATTCTGATACCATGCAAAGCCACTGATTTTAATAATGATCCCCAGTTACCTTATTATCAAAACATAACACGCAAAATTTAAGTTAAAATCAATACAAAACCAGTTTCTTTATGCGGAAAACAACATATCGTAAAATCACCGAAACAGAATGACTAATACATTATTTTGTGCATCAACATCTACAGAAATTGAATCCTGAGCCCATAGAAGGAGGGCTCAGAATGCGTCCTCGCGCTTCTGTAGATGTTAATGTATGAAAAGGGTGAAATAATACTCTATTGTATTTTATATTTTAGTGCGCACAATTCCTTAGCTTATTCGAACCAAATGTTCAGTATGATTTATACTAGTTAGTGTCGGTGATGTAAGGGTTTTCTTCTCCTGTCAATTCTTTTAAATAAATTTAGTTTACATCATCCTTGTGATCGTCTTACTGCAGCTGTGAGTTCTTTTTTATTAGTAATTTAAGCAGCATATATTTTGTGTTATAGATAACGGAATCAGACTCTTATTATTTTATTATTTTGGCAAAGTCTTTTGAATAAACAAGAAAAGCAGAATGATATTGAACAAAATATCTTGGGTTTTTCTGTAATCAAACTTAAGTGTTTGGCATTATGAAGATTAGTAATTCGTGGCTTTATATAAGATCAAGTTTAGACTTTTGCAGCTCTTTCTATCTGACAATTTT